AGCACTTGAAATGTGGCTAGTGTGATTGGAGAAATGATATTTTAATTTAATTTTAGTTAATTTAAATTGTCATATGTGGCTAGTGGCCGTTTACTGCGTTGGACAGCGCAGCTCTGTAACAATCCTGTAAGGTGGGTGAGATTTCTGTTCCCATTTCGCAGATGAGGACATCGAGGCACAGTTAAGTTATACAACCAGTGAATGGTGATGTCCAAGCTGAGATTTAAGCCTGGGGCTCCCTCATCCATCCCACCATGCTGCCTGTGTGCCGGTGATCTTATCATGGCCTCTCAAGGTGCACCCAAGCCATATCCTCCCTTGTTTCCTCAGACGGGCACACTGCGGTTCTGCGGTACCACGGAGTTCGCCAGCGGCCAGTGGGTGGGCGTGGAACTGGATGAACCTGAGGGCAAGAATGATGGCAGTGTTGGGGGTGTCCGGTACTTCATCTGCCCTCCCAAGCAGGGTCAGTCCCACTGGGGCCCAGAAGGTGATGGTGGGGTCCACTCAGTAGTTCTGCTGCTGAGTGCTGGGGTTGGGAGGTGATGAGGGGGGTCAGAGGGCAGAGGCTTGGACAACTCCCAGCCCAGGCTCTGTCCCCCCAGGTCTCTTTGCCTCTGTGTCCAAGATCTCCAAGGCAGTGGATGCACCTCCCTCATCTGTCACCTCCACACCGCGGACTCCCCGGATGGACTTCTCCCGTGTCACAGGCAAAGGCCGCAGGGAACACAAAGGTCAGAGGGGGAGCCCTAGGAGTGACGAGAGCCATTCTTGAGGATATTCTGTGGATAGCCCAGCTTCTGTGACTCAGTTTCTCCTCAGGCTCAAACTCCCATTTTAGAGGATGACCTCTGAGTTCCTGACTTTTGTGCCTCCGTTTCTCCTTTGACTCAGTACTGGTCCCACCCAGTTCTTGCAAGGACCTGTGTGTTCCCTGCCCCCTATGACTTAGTTTCCCCTTAGACCCAAAGGTTTTCTCCCAGTTTTAGGGAAGAATCTATGGGGTTCCTGGCTTTAGTGACTTGATTTATCCTCAGACCTAACTCCCCCCTTCATTTTAAAAGGACAGTTTCTGGGTTTCTGACTTCTGAGACTCAGTTTTTCCCTTGGCCCAAATATCTTCAACTTTGAGAAAGAGTTTTGAGGTTCTGTAGGTTCTTGACTTAGTTGTCCCTCAGGTCCAAAGCCCCCACCCCCATTCTCTGGCAGCTGGGATTGTTTCCTTTCAAGCCCACCCCCCAACCCCATTTCAGGGGAAGGCTCATCTCATTTGAACCAGGATAGTTTCTACCTTGTGGCTTTCTGGGTGACACGGGGCCCCCAGGGCTGGCATCTGGAGGCCTCACCCTCACCCCTTGTCCCCTTCCCGCCAGGTAAGAAGAAGCCCTCATCATCCCCATCTCTGGGCAGCCTGCAGCAGCGTGAAGGAGCTAAGGCTGAGGTTGGAGACCAAGTCCTCGTCGCAGGCCAGAAGCAAGGGATCGTGCGTTTCTATGGGAAGACAGACTTTGCCCCAGGTGAGGATAGCTATCTGGGCTGGGGGCAGGCAGGGCCTTGAGGCATCCTGACACTCTCCCGTTGCAGGTTACTGGTACGGCATAGAGCTAGACCAGCCCACCGGCAAACACGATGGCTCTGTCTTTGGTGTCCGGTACTTCACCTGCCCCCCACGGCATGGAGTCTTTGCACCAGCATCTCGAATTCAGAGGTGAGCCCAAACTCTGGTCACAACTCAGGGCACCACCCAGAATCCTGATCCCCTGCTTGGATGTCTCCTCCTCTTGGACCAGGAGGACAGTGTGGATATCCACCCCCACACCCTAGCTCTTTCGTCGTAGGCCCCCCGGGGCTCCGCTCCTGGTCAGACCCTGGCCTCTTGTGGCTCTGACTCCTCCCACTCCTCGTGTCTCCCCAGGATTGGTGGATCCACTGACCCCCCTGGGGATAATGTCGGAGCCAAAAAAGTACATCAAGTGACAAGTGAGTTGGGGGCTGGCTGTGGGAGGAGTGTGGATTTGGGGATAGGAAGAAAGGTCTTGGGTCCTCAGGTATATGCTGGTGACAGAATCTCCAGTATTTAACTGGGGACACAGGGTCCAGGAAAATGATGAGACAGGATCCCAAAAAGGATGGGCACTATAGGGATGGGGATGTTAACGACAAGGCTCTGAGCAGGCACCGGACACATGGGTAGGTCTTGGAGGACACAGGGAATATTATTGACAAGAGGTCTAGATGGCTATTGGGAATGTAGGATATTGGGGACGTGGATAAATATTAATGAAAAAGAGTCTGGGTAGATATTGAGGACAGAGGTCGGTCTATCATCCCCTCACCTGAGACCTTGCCCTTCCCTTCAGTGACGCAGCCCAAACGCACCTTCACAACAGTCCGGACCCCAAAGGACATCGCATCAGAGAACTCCATCTCCAGGTACGTAGCAACCCTTGGTCCCCCTCTCCTGTGGGATATTCAGGGAGAGGCATCCACCAGGCCATTGGACACAGGGAGTCTGGAGTTCTGGGTTGGGGCTGGAAATAGAAGTTAGGAAAACATACGACTAGTTAGCTTACCCAGAAGCAGTCTTTAGGGAGTGAGGCCCCATAGTGAATTCTGGTGACTTCAACTTTTATATATATATATATTTGGCTGCGCCGGGTCTTAGTTGTGGCATACGGGATCTTCACTGCGGCATGCGGGATCTAGTTCCCTGACCAGGGATCGAACCTGCGCCCCCTGTGTTGTGAGCACAGAGTCTTAACCACTGGACCACCAGGGAAATCCCTGGTGACTTCAACTTTTAAGGGGCAGGTAAAAGAGGCAGAACACCTTCGGCTCCACGGGAGCCTGAGAGGGCACAGCTGGAGAGACAGAGGCAGAATCCAGAAAGGCCAAATCCCAGACACTCGGGGAAGAGCTGGGCGGTGATGGATCCAGATGCTCCCGCATCCTGCACCAGCGTGTGACACAGTTCTCTTCCCCAGGTTGCTCTTCTGTTGCTGGTTTCCCTGGATGCTGAGGGCGGAGATGCAGTCTTAGAGGCTCTGGACATCTGAGAGAGACACAGAGCCTCCTCTAGCATCTCCTGACACAAGGAGCCCCCGAGTCACCCTGAGATAGAGATTCCCAGTAACACATACAGAATAGAGACCCCCATTAGCCAGCCCTCGATCACTGAGGCCCCATTATTAACAGACTCCCTCATGATAACCCCCCAAATACAGACCCTATGTTACCCAGAAAGAGATTCCCTAAGTGTAGTACCTTCAGGCTAGTCCCAACCCCTCAGAGGAGACTCCCACAATAACAGATTTCCACATCACCCCAAATGACGGTGACTTTCTCTACATAATGCTCCACAGCAGAACATTCCTGAGTCACTAGTCACTGGATCAGAACCCTCCCCTGTTAACAAAGACCCCCCCCTCCACCATCAAGTCCCCTTGAAAGAAACACCTCCAAAGCAAGAGTAACAAACCCACATTTAATATCAGTCCCCTCAAGATGTTGTGACCTCCGTGGTCACCCCAAACCCCCTACACTGCAATCAGAGACTCCCTCCATTAACGAACTCCCCTGCTCTTACCCCTCAAGAAGAGACTCACATTAACCAGCCCACTGTCACCCCCAATTTACAGATACCAAAACAGTACTGGAAGTGCTAATTACAGGACCCCCAAGTCTTCCTATCCTCTGCACCCTCAAGGAACCCCCAGTGCCTTGTACGAAGCCCACCCCATGCGGCCCACAGCACCTGTGCTGGCCAGGCTCCCAGAAAATTCTCTATTTTTAAAGTAATTATTTCCCCCTTTGGGGGGACCCCAAAATTTGGAGGTCCCATTCTGGGACTCTGAGGATCCCAAACCCCAGAGTACATGTCCTAAACTCCCCTGTGCCCCCAAGTCCTAGAGCCCCTAGGAGACCCCAAAGCCCTAACTCCCAGGATCCCCAAATCATGGAATCCCCAAATCCCCAGGGAATCCCAAATTAAAAAAATCCAATCCCAAGCCCCCAGGAAACCTCAATCATGGAGGTTCTTGTGCCTGGGATGGAGGAGATATGCATCCTGGGCCCCCAGGGCACCTCAAGCCCTATTCATAGGCACCAGAAACCCCAAACAGGAATTCTCATCCCTGGAAACCAGAGGACTTCAATGCCCTGAGCCCATGGATCTCAAGACACCCAAATTCCAAGAGCCCCAGCCCCAAGGGAACCCCAAATCCTCAAGCCTCCATCTCATACATGAGGGACATCAAGGCCTTGAGGGGATCCCAAATCCTGGAGTCCCCATTTCAATCTACATTCTGGTCACAGGTCCAAAACACCAAATCTAAGTTACTGGCCCTGAAGGACCTCAGACCACCCTGGCCAGACTAACAGCCCGACGGAGACCCTGAAGGCCCAGGGGTCCAGGGCAGACCTGGGGCCCTGAAAACCAAGGACAGCTCACGACTGCCCCTTCACTGCATGTCCCCAAACTCAGCATGACCCCTACCCCCTTCAATAAAGACGTTTCTACGGCTCTCTGTGTCGGGTCGGTGTTTAGGGAGTTTACCGCCCTGCCTCCGTACCCTTGCTGGGTACAGCAATCTCGCATCCCTGCGGCTTTGTATAGGATGGCCTAACCTGCGGGGAGTCCTTCCAACCATCGCGTTTTTCCTGTGCCGCCACGGCTGCCCCTCCTTTCTGGGCTCTCCGCAGCGTGGACAGGTTCGATTCTGGAGCTCTAATTGGTCGATGCCAGACGAAGACCCGTCTCTGAAGGAGCCCCAGTGGCTCAGAGGCCGGGAGGCACAGCCTGTCACCGAAGGAGGGCGAGGGGGCGGAACAACAGTGTGTGAGAGCGCCGATTGGGTGGAAGGAGGCGCCTTAGAGCCTTTGAGAATTCCCATTGGTCTGAGAATTCCTGCGTCGGCCATGTGGGTAGGAAGTGGCTGGGAAGGGAATGGGGGTGTTGAATTTGGATTTTGGAGGGGTCACTGGTGGACGGTCAGTTTGGGGCGCCGAGGGCGGAGATGGGGGTCCAAGAGGGCTGAGAGTGGGGATCCGGGGAAGCTCAGATGGGAGTCCGAGGAAGCTAAAATTGTGGGGTTCTAGAAGACAGAGTCGGGGGAACCAAGGGGTTCAGGGAGGGAAGGTGTGAGAGGGGTCAGGCTCAGGGTCAAAGGTCCAAGGGGGCTGCAGGAAAGGGGCGCTCGGGAAGAGAAGTCTGAGGGGAGTCTAGAGTGGGGAGGATACAAGGAGACTGAAAATGGATGTGTCTGAGGAAGCTTAGATTGGGGGCACAAGCGTGCTCAGAATGGGGCGTCTGAAAAGGCTTGAGGCGGGAGGAGGGTCTATGAGGACCTCGAATATTGTTAGAGAGCCGGGCTCGGGATTGCAGGTCTGAAGTTTTTAGGATGAGGTCTCAAATCAAGGTGTTTAAAGGGGGTCTGGGGTGCAGCCCTGGGGGATGTGTGTGGAGCTCTTAAGAAGGGCTCCCAGTGGAGTCTGAGGTTGTTCTCTGTAGAGGCTTGAGAGGGCAGACATGCGTAGTTTGATGGGTATTTGGTGGATGGAGTCTGAGGGGAGTACTGTGGGTGCTCATTGTGTCTGGGCAGGGAGCCTAGGGGTGCATTGTGTGGCTTTTGAGATACTGAGGACATCTAGGTTTTCGAAACCAAGTGAGTTTCACTAGAGGGCTGAGGTGAGGCCCTGGCCCATGATGAGGCCAGAAAGCTGGATCACAGTCTGCGGGTGGGAGGCTTGGTGATTTCAGCATGTTCTCCCCTCCCCACAGGAATGACCGGGTACACGGACTTGATGTCAATGGAGGATCAGGACGCCAGGGTTCCAGCTCTGGAACCATTCAGGGTGGAGCAGGTTGTCAGGACCGGGGGTGCAGAGGGTGAAGGTGGGAACTAGAGGGCGGGAGATAGAGTGGGGATAGGCAGGCTGACTCCTGGGTTTGTGGGCTGGGACTGCCCCCCCCCCCGTCTCAATTCATCCTTACCCTCAGGGTCTAGCCCTACCCTCACCCCCACCTCCCCATCCCCCAAATAGCCATTGGTCCCTCGACTTAAGGCCCTGGCCTGTCTGGGGACATCCTGAGCTCCGCTCCAGAGGAGGGGCTGCTCATGGATGGCAGCATTCCTGTGTGGGTCCAAAGGTCACACCTTCAGGGGGGATCTCTCTATCCTAGGCACCACCTGTAATCTACTATGTCCCTGACTTCATCTCCAAGGAAGAGGAGGAGTATTTGCTTCGACAGGTGACCTGTTTATCCCCTCTTCCCAGAACACTCTTCAACCCCCAGTTCTCGTGGGAGAGCCCGAAAGTTCACAGTGAGGATTCTGGGAGGAGGGAGAGTGCCACCTGGCACCCATCCCTCACCACCTTCCCTATTCCTTTCTCAGCACCTGCTGGGGCCTGTCAGAAAGGGCTTTTCCCAGGAAGCTTAGGGGAAACCAAACTGATTCTTTTTTTTTTGGCCACGCCACGCGGCTTGTGGGATCTCATTCCCCTAGGGATTGAACCTGGGCCATGGCAATGAAAGTACCGAATCCTAACCACTAGACCACCAGGGAACTCCCCAAACTGATTCTTAGAAAGGTGGTGGTTATTATGGAGCTCAGACTCCCTGTGCTAAGACAGCCCTATCCGGCTACCTTAGAGAGAAGGAGGTTATAACATAGGCTGAGATAGCCCAGTTCACTCCCTTGAGATTTGGGGAATGAAGAATTTACAGTGTTCAGATTTCTGTGCTGAGATAACCGAGGCCTCAGAATGTTAAACGCTTCCCCGTGCTAATAGCTCAGCATAAACCCAGAGTCTTGGGAACAGGGTTACCAAGCACAGACCACCCGTGTTAGATAGCCCAGTCTGTACTCTATTCTGAAGGTCTGGGGAAAGGAGAATTTTACAAAGCTCAGAGTCTGTGCGCTGGGATAGCCCTTTGCAGCCCCAGAGCCTTGGTTATAGAGCACAGATCTTCCCTGTGCTATCCCAACTAGTCCTGTCTAGTTTGAGTCCCAGGAATGAGATAGTTCCAAAACTCAGACTCTCATACTGAGACAGCCGCTTCCAGCCCCATAACAATGAAGGAAATAAGGAGATTTCTTAGACTTTTTGAGATAACCCTTTGTAGACGCTTGGGGTCTTGGCAGTGGAGAATTTTCAACGTACTCTCTTGGCTATACTGAATACCCCAGTTGAGCACGTTTTCTCCCCCAGGCAAGAGGAACAAGGAGGTTCCAGGACTCAGACTGTGCTGAGATAGCCCAGGAATCACGAAATTACAGAGTGCGGACTGTTTGCTGGGCTGAAAGAGCCCAACCCAGCCCAGAGCTCTGAGTAGATTCAGACCCTGCTTGTGTAGCTCTGGTTCCCTCCCTCAATCCCTAGACACAGAGGGGCTTTGAGGCCAGCGGCCTCCACAGGGGGAAAGGGCAAGAACAAAATCCTGGGAACACTGTCTCAGAGAATGATCCCACAGACACTGAGATGACCTATTTCCACCTTAGGTGAAAACCCCTATGTTGGCCTGGGTGGGAGAATCAGAGAGGGTGGTCCTGGAAAAGGACTGACCCCCTTCCCACCTCCCAGGTCTTCAATGCCCCAAAACCAAAGTGGACCCAGCTCACCGGGAGGAAGTTACAGAACTGGGGTAAGTGTCTCCGGCTGTGGGCATGGGTGATTTAGGGCTGGGGACTGGGGTAGGCAGCTCAGGTTGGATAGTCTTAGGACATTGAGGCGTCAGGGTGCCGGGGGGAGGTCCTTGAGGGTTCAAGGGGTCCTAAGGGCCAGGAGGATTCTCAGGGGTCAGTGGAGGTCCTGAGGGCTTAGGGATTTCCTGATGAGTTGGAGGGTATCTCTAGGGGTTTGGAGAAGTCAGGAAACCTTTGAAGGGTGGAGTGGTGATCTCCAAAGAGTTAGGGGTCCCCGAGGAGGTCAGAGTGCTACCAACCACTGGGATATCCCTAATGGGGGCTCCACATGCCAGAGCTCCTTGTTGGGTGCCCTCAGCACCCCATTTCCCTCCCCCAGGTGGGCTCCCCCATCCCCGGGGGATGGTTCCTGAGCGGCTGCCACCGTGGCTCCAGCGTTACGTGGACAAAGTGTCTGACCTCAGCCTTTTTGGGGGTCTCCCAGCCAACCACGTCCTTGTGAACCAGTATCTGCCTGGGGAGGGCATCATGGTAACCACACTCTCACCCCGACCCCCAGACCTCGGATCCACCATGGGGCAGGGCATCATGTCGACCCACATCACTCTCATTAAGCAGCCACATACCCCAACCAAACACTCACCTCCCTGTCCCCAGCTGGGGAGCCCTGCTTTCACCTGAGGGTGGGGGGGTGTGGACTCCTGCCCTGTCCAGCCCTGGTACCCACTCCCCAGCCCCACGAGGATGGGCCACTGTACTACCCGACTGTCAGCACCATCAGCTTGGGCTCCCACACCATGCTGGACCTCTACGAGCCTCGGCAGCCAGAGGATGATGACCCTACAGAGCAGGTGGGCCCTGAGACATTGCCCCAGCCGCTTGTGGGCACTCTGACACCCCATATCCTCTAAGAGGCCCCAATCCCACCTGCCTGCGGGGTACCCCGATACCCTTCCAGAAATCTTCCTCTGTCCCCTCATGGAGGGCACCCACATCCGCCCAGATGCCCAGCCCATCTGCCTGCAGGGTGCCCTAGAAATCACGATATCCACGGATACCCCAGTACCCCCATCTGCTGAGTAAATATCCTGACATCCTACCGATCCCCTGGCTCCATACATTCAGAGCGCTCCAATACCGCATGCAGGGCTCCCCAGTTCTCCAACAGACACTGATATCCTCAGATACCCCAACACCAGCCACTCAGGGTTGTCTCTGACATCCTGCCAGACACCCTGACTTTCAGTGGCCACTGCACAGGCACCCCAACACTGACTTCCTACCTCCCACTCCAATAATGTGATCTGTCATGCAGGACACCCCCAGATTCTCCTTGGCACCTCAACACATGACTCGCTGCTCAAGGGCCCCCAGATATCCTGCCTCCCCTCTGGGTTGCTCATGACAGCAGCTTCCCTGACCTCTTTCTTTGCTGTATGTCTGACACCCCAGTGTGCACAGAAACTCCCCTGGACACCCTGACACCAGCTGCTCCTTCCGGCTGCCCTTTGTAATCCTACATGCTCCTAGATGCAATGACACCCCCTCCCACTCTGCTGGTGTCCTCAAAACATCCTGATATCCGCACATCCTCCCAGACCACACCTGCTCATCTCTTCCTCCCTTCCTGGCTTCAGCCAAGTCCTCAGCCCAGTTCCACTCAGTTTCCTGGGACCACTGATCCCTCGGTCCCAGCCCCAGCTCCTTGCAGAGCCCAGCTGCAGTTCCCTTAGGCCCTTAGACACCGCCATCTGCAGCCTAGTCCCTGCCGAGGGGCTGCTGACACCCCACCACCTCCCCGTCTCCACTTCCCTGGAAGCCTGGCCCTGGCCCTGGCCCCCGCGGGATTTTCACTCCAAAGCCTCGATCCCTAGGAGCACACTTGCCCCTCAGCCTTTGCCCCTGGGGCTCGCTGACCCTCGCCCCCTGAACCCCCAAACCCGCTGACCTCTCGCCCACCCCTAACTTCTGGGGACCCGCTAACCTTCAACCCGCCCCGCAGCCCCGGCCCCCGCCCCGGCCGGCCACCTCGCTGTTGCTTGAACCGCGCAGCCTGCTGGTGCTCCGTGGCACCGCCTACACGCGCCTCCTCCACGGCATCGCAGCCGCCAGCGTAGACGCGCTCGACGCCGCCTCCCTGCCGCGCAACGCAGCCGCCTGCCCCTCGGCGCAGGCTGGAGCCCGCCTGATCCGCGGCACCCGCGTCTCGCTGACCATCCGCCGCGTACCCCGCGTGCTGCGCGCTGGCCTCCTGCTCAGCAAGTGACGCCAGGACCCAGCACCCGCTCGGATGCCCGAGCTCTCGCCTGCTGTGGACTGCTGGCGCCCTGTGGGCAGAGGCGGTTCCCCCCGGGTTATTTTCCCAGTACCTGTGAGGGAACCACAGGAAAAGGCCCCATTCCAAATAAACCACCAACAAAACAATCTTACTCTGGTTTTGGACATTTGGGGGTGGGGGGCCAGATGTTTGGGTTCCTGAAGGGCGCTGCGTCTGGGACCTTAGATGGATGGTGTGGGCTCTCGAGGTCAGATGTTCGGGTCACAGAGTCGAGAAGAACCCAGGGCTCTTGAGGGGCAGGGTTATATCTGGAAACCCCTTAGGTGGGTGGGGTGAGCTTGGGAGGTTCAGCTACTGGTCCGCTGGGGAGGAAGGAGTTAAGCGGTGCTACTATCACCTGAGCAGGGCATCAAATTACCTGGGTCCAGGTTCCTCCTAGAAAGAGGTGGAGCTGAGCCTGCCCCTGGGCTTCTGGCTGCCTCAGGCCTGGGTGAGTCCTACTGAGGAAGTCTGGGAGGATAGGAAAAGGGCTCCTACTCACTGACTCTCTGTCCTCAGGCTCCCCAGTATGGCCCTGCCCCCACGCCTGGGCCCTACACCCCCCTCAGAGCCCTTCAGCCACCCGCCTGGAGCCCCTAGGGAACTGAACACATCTGGATGCACCATCTGCCCTGCCTCTGGAGAGGAGAGAATCAGGTACGAGCTGGGGCTTTTGAAACTGTGGTCCCAAAAGGGTGGAGGCAGTAGCAGGGACCTTTTGAGGGTAGGAGGTATTGTAGCTAAGATCACCTGGGGACATGAGAGAGGTAACTGGGGACAGGGGTAGGGTAGGGTGGATAATGGACACCTAGGCTCACCCAGGGGCCTGTCAATACCTCCCCCCCACCCCATCCCAGGTCAGAACGGGCCCAGAAGCTGGGGCAGGACTCCTTGGACCCTCCCGAGCCCTTCCAGGGTGGGCCGAGGGGCACTGAGCCTGCTGCTGGCCTCCCCAGATTGCCAACGCCCCCTTCTCATGAGGACTCGGCTGGGGCCAAACACCGTGAGGTGAGCTGAGGTGAACTAGGCCCCTGTGCCAGCCCCTACCTCCTGTCTGTCTCCCAGGATCTGGCTTCCACACCGGGGATGAGGTGATGATTCTGGAAAAGTGTTGGGCATCTGTGTGGGGAGGGATGCTCTAAACAATGATTCTTTAACTATCACTATTCAGTATTTTACCAACTGAGAGAGAATCCTTTCATCATTGGCCCTGGTGTAGCCCCATTCCTTGTGGGGCTATCCAGCTCCATCACCCTCTCCCTCTCCAGAGCCCCAGGCCCTATACGTACAAGTTTCTAGGAGCCTTGAAAACCTGGAGAATTTGAACTAGAGGTTCTCAGGCCTGGCTCCACTGGGAAGTTTCTCTAGGTGGGAGCAACCCTGGGGCAGACCCAGAGATGGGACTCTGCTGCAGAGAAGCACCCAGAAGGCAGGAGCCTGGGTGCAGTGGGTGCGGGCCATGCCTTGGTTGGCTCACTGGCTCTGACTCAGCCCCCTGTGTTCCCCAGCGTCCCATCTCTGGCTGGGGATTAGAAGCTGAGCAGGACAGCCTGCATTTTTGCCTTTTGGGGCTGGGCCTCCGGCTGCAGGACCTGGAGCAAGGCCTGGGGCCCTGGGCATCAGCCCAGAGCAGGATGGTCCAGCTGCAGGTGAGCAGTGGGAAGCCAAGACGTGGGAGGGTGGGCAGGGCCTCAGGAGTGGGTGCCAGCTTCCCAGGGTGGGAAATGGGTTTATTCCATGTTCCAGGTGTCTGGACGGCAGAGGGGGTGGGGATAGTGCTCCAGGTCTCAGGTCTCTGGTGCCCCTGCTGTGTGTGTATGGAGGCGGGGGTGGGGGGGTGGGGGGGGGGGGGTGGGGATGGGCTGGTGTGGTGTTGGTGATGTCCAACCATGTGTACCCAGGCCCTACAGGCAGACCTGCGTGGGGCAGCTGAGCGTTTAGATGCACTGCTGGTGTTCGGTGAGGGGCTGGCACAGCGGAGTGAGCCTCAGGCCCGGGCATCCCTGGAGCAGGTCCTGAGGGCCTTCAGAGCCCACCGAGACAGCATCTTCCGGCAGCTGTGGCGGCTGCAGGCCCAGCTGGTCAGCTACAGCCTGGTATGGCCCACCCTGGCGGTCCCTGGGGCAGGCGCCGATCCCAACCCTCATGACCTCTGTCCTCTGACCAGGTGTTTGAGGAGGCCAGCACACTGGAGCAGGACTTGGAGGTCGAGGGGGACTCAGACGGGCCAGGACCTGGTGGGGTCTGGGGGCCCTGGGCACCCAGTAGCCTCCCCACTCCCGCAGAGTTGGAGTGGGACCCGGCGGGGGACGTTGGGGGCCTCGGGCCTTTGGGGCAAAGGACAGCCTGGACACCAGGGACTCCCTGTGAGCTGTGTGGCCGCAGGGGCCCCCAGGGCAGGGGACAAAGCCTTGAGGTGAGAGCAGGTGGGGTCACCTCCCCCCAGGCACCCAAGGGACCCTCTGTGTGTCTCCTAGCAGGGCCCTTTTTCCCTTTCGAGGAGGTCTTCATGACTCTGTCTCTCCCGGTGTCTCTTTTGCTTTTGGTGTCTCAGTGGTCTCCTCCCTCGTCCCTCTGCCTCTCTTGGCCTCCAGGTGTCTCTGTTGTACCTATATTTCCTCATTTCCTCTCACTTTCCCCCTCACTTACCCCACCACAGCCACACTAGCCTCCTGGCTCTTCAAATATTCCAAATACACTCCCATCTCAAAGCCCCCAGAGGCACACCGAGCTCACCTCCTCACTTCATTCCATCCAGTCTCTCCTCAGATGTTACCTCTTCAGAGAGGCCTGCCCTGGCCTCCAAACATTATCACTCCTTATCCTATTTTATTTCCTAACAGCACTTACCACATCTTGACATTATACATTTATTAACTTATGGTCTCTCTCTCTCCTGCTAGAATATAAACTCAATGGACGCCAGGACTTTGCCTGTTTCCATGCTCACAGTGTCCCCACCTCCTAGAATAGCACCTGGCATGTAACAGATGCTCATTAAATATTTGTTGAATGAATGAATAAATAATGTCTCTTTTTTCTTGGTTTCTTTGGCTCTGCCCCTCTCTTCATCTCTCCCTGAGATCTCTCTCTTCCCCCAGAATCTAATCTCTGTGACACTTACCCCGTCTTGGCCCTTCCCCAACTTTGTGTCTCTTTGTCACTGATTCTCCAAGGACCCCACTCCTCTCTCTCCCCACAGGACATGCTCATGTCAGGCCTCAGCCACCGGAAACACTTAACAGGTCACCGAAGACGGTCCCTGCTCCGGAAGTCTCAGGTGAGTTGGTCCTCGGCCAGGTGTATCACTCAGGAATGTTGATGGCAAGTGACAGCAACCCAACCCAAATTGAATTACACACAAAAAAGAGGATGCTGTTTTTTTCATGTAACTGAAAAGTCCAGGTGGTGTTGAATTCAAGACCTCAAATACTGTCAGGGCTCTCAGTCCCTCCCTGTCTTGGGCTCTACTTCTCCAGGGTGGATTCCTTCTCAGCAAAATGGCTGCCCCAGCAGCTACACACTCATTTCCCACTGGCTTACCCACCCCAGGAGGAGAGAGTGCCACTGACCTACGGCAGCCAAGTCCTAGGGCTGACTTCTGCTTCCCCAGCTTGGGTCATGGCCTACACCCTAAACCAATCACAGTAGCCAAGCTGATGGAGGGCTCTGGTTGGCCAGATCTGGGTCACATGCCTAACCATGGAGGTGGAGTTTTGAGTTCAGGAAAGTAGGGAGGTATGATACCCTTCTCCCCAAATTGAACCACTGTTACCAGGAAAAGGGAGACTGTTTGGAGGGCAGGCACTGACAGACATCCACTATACCTGGAGATATTCCAAGTCCATGTGGGGTCTTGGGGATGGAGGGAGTGCTAGGAAAGGAGGAGAAATAAGCCCAGCTCTGTAGGTCTGTGGGAGTAAGGTAAAGACCACATTAAATATCACTTCCACCCATTCTACTGCTGGCTGCTCTCTACCTTTAGGACAAGATGAGGCAAGCATCTCCCAATGTCCAGGATGTGATGCTGGAGGTAGACCCTGGGTGAGATGCCTGGGAGATGGGTCTGGGGGTGTCGGGGTAGGGCTCATGGTGGCAGCCCATCCATACATTGAACACTGCATTTCCCTTTGCAGATCCCCCACTCCTGCATCCAGGCGGCCCCTGACCTTCCTCCTCCTCCTCCTTTTCCTTCTGCTGGTGGGTGCCACATTGCTCCTGCCCATGTCAGGGGGCTCCTGCTGCTCTCCTGCCCGACTGGCCAGGACACCTTACCTGGTGCTCAGCTATGTCAATGGTCCTCCCCCAACCTGACTACACAGTCCAGACATATGTAATAAATGGTCACTGTCAAAGGATGTGTCTTAGTCTGTTCGGGCTGCTATAACAAAATAACATAGACTGGTGGCTTATAAACAATAGAAATTGATTTTTCACAGTTCTGGAGGTTGTAAAGTCCAAGATCAAGGTGCCTGTAGATTCAGTGTCTGATGAGGACCCACTTCCTGGTTCATAGACGGCTGTCTTTTCACTGTATCCGCACATAGAAGAAGGGGCAGAGAATCCTCTGGGGGGGTCTCTTTTATAAGGGCACTAATCCCTTTCATGAGGGCTCCATCCTCATGACCTAATCACCTCCCAAAGGCCTCACCTCCTAATACTATCACTTTGGGGGTTAGGATTTCAACATATGAATTTTGAGGGGACACAGACATTCAGTCTATAGCAGGACATGTGGGGATATTGGGTGCTTGAGTACTGAGAATCTTGGGTATGGCCCTGGTACATCTGGACAGCCCCCTCCACAGATCCCTTTGCCTTGAGCACAGAACATGGAACTGAATCAGCCCATCTTGGGTTGGGTTCCCCCAGACCCTGAGACAAAGATTCAAGCACAGGTAGTTTTTTAGGGAGTTGATCCCAGGCAAATGGATAGGGGAATGGGAAGTGAGCCATGGAAAGGAGTTAATGAGCTGGTTGCTGCTCTGGGCACTTTGAGTGCCATCCCCCTAGGGACCTCTGGGAGACTGGGAGACACACTCAAAGTTGTCCCACCCAAGAGGTGAAGAAGTTGTGGCATATATGTACCAGCTCCCATCTTTGATTG